AGAGAGGGAGAGAGAGAGAGGAGACGCGCCTGTCTGAGCATCATCTGGTAGCTGTGCAGGCTACTCCTCCACGGGGATGATACACAAGCGATTTTTGGTCTGTGCGTGAAAAAACAGAAGAATCAGGGATGCTGCCGATGCTGCTGCTGCTGCCATTCCCAGCCCGGCTCTGATAGAGACAGCCAGGCGCACAGCACGGGACTGGACACCCAGAAAATATCTCTCCTCACCTCTCCTCCGCCTCTGCACCTTCTCTCCCACCCCCCTCCCCTTTATCTCTCACCCCTCTCCTCCTCCTCCTTCCTCCTTCCTTCTTCCTCCTCCACCACCACCACCCCGGAGCGTCTATTCATTCTGATCAATTGATAACCCGTCTGTGATTCAGAAAGCCACCCACTCCTCCATCCTCTCCTCCATTCACCCGTACATCCTCTTAAGGCACCTCTTTACGCACTCACACGCGCAAAGGCACGCACACGCACGCACGCACGCACGCACCACCACCGCCGCCGCCGCCATCTACAGCCATCATGGAGACGACCAAGCTGCCTCCGTCCAGCCCGTCCTCGCCGACCACCAGCTTCTCGGTGCCGTCCGCGGAGAAGGTGGACGGCTTCCCGCGCCGGTCGATGCGCAGAGCCCGGCAGAGGAGGTCCCACAGCTCGTCCCAGTTCCGCTACCAGAGCTCCCAGGTGGAGCTCACCCCACTGCCCCTGCTCAAAGGTGAGACACTGCTTTGGGTCAATGTCAGGATGTGTGTAGTGGTAGGCCGACCACAGGGGATGGAAAAGGTCACCATAAACTTTATATATGGTAAAACAGCACTAGATCAAAGTGAATGCCATTTCCTGACTTTACATAAGACACCCATTGATCAGCACTCTGGAGAAGGTCTATTGATGTATTGTATTTTCTGTTGAGAGGCGTCCACTGATACACGCTATCCTCTCTGTCCTCTGACTGACAGAGGTGATAGCAATGGCTTTGATTTATTGTCTGATAGGAGCCAGTCTGCTTTGGCCTGATGCAATATTTTGTTTGAGGGCTGCGCCAACCATTCTTTTCATCATTAATGAATGATTTTGACAATTAAATAACAGCAAAAAAAGCATCAAAAAAGGTTTGTTTCTGCCTGTTTCCCAGAGGAGTCCAAAGTGACGTCTTCATCTGTCCAACTAACAGCCTGAAGCCCAAAGAAATTCAGTTTACAATGATTTAAAACACCCAATCCTCACACTGGAGATCAGACAATGTTTGGAGGTGACTATTGCACCTTCTTTTAGATGATACTGAGATTCGGTTATTGCTGAAGCAGATGAGGATCAAAGGTAGTATAACTAGAAGATGATACTGTAGGAGGGATAATGGATGAGTAACAAATGACACATTTTCCTTCCAATTATCCTAATTTTTAGCAACAATCATCGACTCCACTACTGTACGCTGACTCCAGTTGCCTACACGTTTCAAAGTGCAGGTTCCACTATAGCCTTAAGCCTGTGTGTAATCTAGCTGATTATGAAAGTTAGTGTGTTTTTAAGAAGCTTTAAAACACATTCACGTCTGCAGAGTCGCTGAGCTTGATGTTGACCACTTACACACTCATTAAAGCAACAGCACCATCAAACATCTGCTTGTCTCCATGATTGGTTGATGGGGAAATGGGAGACGCATCTCTCCATTATGAGTCCTTTCCCCTTGACGGACCACTGTTCATAATAACAACTGCTTCTCAATTGCCTCATTAGATAAACCTCAAACACAAATACATAAAATACAAAACATACTTGTACAAATCGTGGCTATGTAAAGATATTGACATTCAGACTGCCATGACAAACCCCTTAATAAATAACTGAACTATTTGCAGATCTGTTGTTGCCACAGCTCCAACCCAGAGCTGCTGGTGCTACACTGAGGACACTTTGATCCGTGTGCGTTTGTTCATTCTCTGAGAATGAAGGCTGCAAAGACATGAAACCCACTGGTCTTCATTTTATGGTATAGTGCTGTCTATATGTCCTGTAGACCGAGCAGCTGAGTGTGGTCTGGGTGGGGTTAGGTGTGATACAGTTAGAAAAATCTAATCTCTAATCTCTTTTAATAATTGAAGTCATCAATTTAGGGCAGTTTATTAAGCAGAAATGACATGTTCTGGTTCCTGCTTCTCAAATGGGAGGATTTGTTGGTTGTCTCTCTTTAATCGTTGCTGTAAATTGAATATCTTTGGGTTTTGGATGGTTGGTCGACAACACAAGACATTTTAAGATGTTAACTTGGATTCTGGACACTTGACCTGTTATATTAAATAATCAAAAGCAAACCTGACAAATAATCTAAATAATCGTCAGTTGTACCCCCAGAGTAACCATCAGCATGCATAGTGAGCCAAAAAAGAACAAACATATCATGAGAAGATGGTCTATTCCATATCATACTTTAAAGCAGGGGTTCTCAAACTGTGGGGCAGGGGGACGTGGATGACTGGGGAAAAATATGTAATCAAACCAAAAGTGAAATGCAGTTTGCAGATTATTATTTCAGCAAAACACAACTTGGATATTTTTTTTATTAGTTGCATCCCTTGTCATTGTTATTGTTTGACAAAAATTGTGGCATACTGGAGTGTGACCTTTGTTTTGGCTTCTTACAGGGGCCAGAAAAGGTTTAAAGCCACATTATGTCATTTTTGAATGAAGAAAATAAACATTGTTCCTCTTACAAACGTAAAGTCGGTCTGGTATGACCAGCAGCTTTTAGTGGCTAATATTAGCAACCTTTAGCTTGGTGTTGTTGGGTCAGTTCACTGATATTATGGCTCTTCTATACATGCGCTACTGTTGTGCTCTAAGCCCTAAAAGATATTTTCTTGTTAGACTTTGTGTTTAGGCAGCAAGGAAGCGTCAGAGATGTCCAAGTCAATATTTTTGTACCTTTTCTTGTGGTTGACACAGTAAACAAGACCTATCCCTTCATGTTCCTTCATCTTTTTTTATATTTGCTTTCTCAGGAGCTGTTCTATCTCTAACCATTCATCTACGCCTCTTCCTCACCTTGCGTGTCTTCGTTGTCTTTCTTTCTAACCCGTGTGTGCAGCTCAAGGGCACATTGTAAGTCCTCATATATGCCTCTGACCCCTCTTTATAAGGTTACTCCATGTTTCATGTAGCCTGCAATCTCTTCCCATTAACCCCCTATGAAGACAAGACATTCTGCTTTTAGACACGGTAGGAGGTGCGTGCGTCTGTGTGCGCTTACGTGTTTCGACACCTCATTTCCCCGGCTTCGACTTTCTCTCAGGCACCTGAGCGAGGGTTTTCATTACATCTTTACAGCACCTTTGGTTCAAACTTCTGTGTGCATACGAGCTGTAGCTTTTATGGCCTGAAGTCCCAGTTATCACATGGCTGCTGCACTGCTGCGGCACTGTTTCTGGATCCCCAGGAGGAACTGATAGTAAGATCCTGCAGCACCGGTGCAGGAGAAAAGCCTGGTGTGGGGAAGTCTGTAACGGGCAGTATGTAGGCCAAGTGTAGACAGACTTGTGGGTGTTGTGCCCTCCAGAGAATCACATTCACATTGTTAATTTGAACTCCTCCTTCTGTTAACAACAGCACATCGCTTTCACTTTAAGGCCAGAGCAAAGCTTCATTCCTGCTCACAGTTTCAGGCTTTATATGAGACATAATAGACACAGAAATACATGGAATATAACAATGACGAAGAAGTGACAAAAGAAAAAGCTGGAGCGCAGCATCAAAGGTAAAATCCACCCTGAAACACTTGAACACAGCTTCTAGTGATCAATATCGATGTCCTCTAGATGACTAGCAGAAAAAAAAAACATTTTCAGCACAGCTACAATGGTTTGACAGCAGGGAATGCTTAAAACTAACAATAGTGAACACCGAGTGTTAGATATTAGTCTCCGAAAGAGCAAGAGCCTCAATATTTTGGACCATTTCAACAGTCAAAACAGGAAGAAATCCATCATAGAAGAGGCAGACTGACTGATTCCTAGCCTCAATCGACCAGAATGCAATGCAGCCACAGCTTGCATCTTTACAGAGAAACCAGGTTTTTTTCTGCTTTCTGGACTTGAGAAACTTACTGTGGAAAATATAGAAAGTTGCTAAATGTAGCAGAAGCATAAAGAAGCTTTTTGGAAGGCAACATCATACATCTAACAGTGCAGGTGTTTTTTCCTTGGATGTCACAGTTTTGTGCATAAAGCGTGTATTATGTATGTGGTATGGTGAGATGTCAGTGTAGTTAATCTAGCTGTTTTCCAATCTATAAAATGCTTATTTCCCCATCGACAGTGGCCTCAATTGATCAGGATGCAATGAAGTCACAGCTTGCATCTTTGCAGCTCTGTCATCAGTAGTGTGTGGAATATATCAGCCTTTAAAAATAACTTTTTTTGTAATTAGAACAACGAAACATTCTTGTATGAACGCTTGAGGCAGGTTTAAAAAAGTTTATAAGAACAAAAACAAGTCAGTTCATTGCCTTATTTATGAAAAACTCCAGACATACAGCCATCATCATCTACCTTACTGGTATGTCACTGAACCAGGCATTGACACTCCTGATGTTCTGTACCTGACCCTGACCTCTGAACCCCAGACGAGTTTCTCTAAAGGGGTTTAGTATCACATCATAATAACACAAGTTTGACTAATATCTCTCTGCACACAGTTCAAGGTCTTACGCACTGAAGTGAGAGACACCAGCATATTTTTCAGTCAACATGGATAAGTAGATCTTAAGGTGAGATAGCTACACTCCGCGCTCCAGTAAACGGTGAACTGATCTGGAACACTAAACCAGACTAAACCGACCAATAAAAGAGCAGCAGGGATGGTCAAGGCAGCCAGTGAATACACAGATGAAGGGTGAAGGATACAGGGTCCCTATAATCCCTTTTTACAGTGTATTCATGTTTGGCCACATTCCTGCAGCAAATACATGCATGTGCACATGCATTGGGCGCTGTGTTCTTGAGCCAGTGCGGCACTTCAAAGTGGTTGCGCTGTACTGCAGTGGACGGTTTATGTCTATAACAACAGATATACTTGTTTCAAACACAAATTTCATGGTGCAGTTGTTTTTCTTCAAAGTTTTAACATTTCATTAAACACAGCAGCCTTCTAAAGCCTCTTTGAATGCTGAAACGTCTATAAACCACCAGCCCTACCTCGCCTTCCAGTAGGCATTTGTGTTGTTTATTGAACTACAAACTATCTTGTAAAAAACAGAGATTGATCACTGCCTTTACTGCTAATAGCACTAGCACTAGCTATTTCAAGTGATTTCTCCTTTTTCACTGTTTAAATGTTCCGGTTAAAAATGGAGTACTGCTGAAATTTTCCAGACAGGGCCCCAAATGAGGTGATGATTAAGTCACACCGAGGCACCAGAGCTCGATCAGCTTAGCGTTTCTCTTGGACCCAGGCAAATTAAAACCTTTAATATCTTGTATGAAACAGTTACAGAGCCACCAGATGGGTATCAAAAATGTTTTCAGATACAGTGAAAGCATTCCCTTCCTTTTCAGTCTCTCTACACTTTAATCATCACGTTAAATGATAAAATACTTGAGGATGGTGTCCAGTAAAAGATTGTACTGGGAGTTAATGGTTCTGGAAACTAGCCCAGTAGAGCTAACTCGCTGCTCCTTACTGTTTCCATTTGTTCAGAATCAGACTGCAAGTAAACAA